TTTTTTTTTAGTTGAGTACAGGGGACTTTATTGATGGCACATGATGAAGTGGGGCTCCCTAGGGCCCCCCTCAATTCTTCAGGGTGTCTGGCATGGACATTGTGAGGAGGGGAGAGTCTCCATGTGGTCGGGGACTGAGCGGCAGGGACTCCTCAGCAGCTGAGGGCCTCTCTCCTCCTCTCATGCCCTCGCTGGGGCTGGTGGTCTTGCTCCTTGGTGGCCAGGAGGTCCACCACCTGTTGCTGTAGCCACATTCATTGTCATACCAAGAGATGAGCTTGACAGAGTGGTCGTTGAGGGCAGTGCCAGCCCCAGCATCGAAGGAAGAGTGGGTGTCACTGTGGAAGTCGGAGGACACAGCCTGGTGCCCGGTGTAGCCCAGGATGCCCTCGAGGGGCCCGATGCCTGCTTCACCACCTTCTTGATGTCATCCTATTTCGTGGGTTTCTCCAGATGGAAGGTTAGGTCCATGGCGGACACATTGGTGGGGGGGACACGGAAGGCCCTTGAGCTTCCCATTCAGCTCGGGGATGATCTTGCCCATGGCCTTGGCAGCGCCAATGGATGCAGGGATGATGTTCTGGGTGGCCATCTTGCCAGTTTCCCAGAGGGCCATCCGCAGTCTTCTGGCTGGCCGTGATGGCGTGGACGGTGGTCATGAGTCCCCCGATGCTGCCAAAGTTGTCGTGATGACCTAGGCCAGGGGGCCAAGTGGTTGGTGGTGCAGGAGGCGTTGCCGATGATTGTGAGGTTGTTCTGGTACTTCTCATGGTGCCCGCCCGTCACAAACATGGGGCGTCAGCGGAGGGGGTGGGGGTGATGACCCTTTTGGCTCTCCCATAAGTGAGCCCATTCTTCTCCAAGGCAGTGAAGACGCTGGTGGACTCCACTACATAATCAGTGCTGGTGTCACCCCTTTGATTTTGGTCGAATGTTGCTCCTGGAGGATGGTGATGGGATTTCCATTGGTGACGAGCTTCCCATTCTCAGCCTTGACAGTGCCGTGGAACTTGCCGTGGGTGGAGTCGTACTGGAACGCAGAGACTGTGTAGTTGAGATCAATGAAGGGGTCATTGATGGTGACAATATCCACTTTACCAAAGTTAAAAGCAGCCCTGGTGACCTGGTGCCTCATACGGCCAAATCCATTCATTCCGGACTCCACCTTCACCGTGGTGTCTCGGGGTCACGGCTGGTGCTGCACGAGTGATGCGGCTGTCTGTCGAATGGCAGGAGCAGAGCGCCTTTTAAAATTTTCTTTTTGAGTGGGGCTCTCACCCGGTCGCCCGTGCTGGAGTGCAGTGGCCCAGTCACGGCTTACCACAGCCTCGACCTCCTGGGCTCAGGTGATCCTTCCGCCTCAGCCTTCCAAGTAGTTGGAACTACAGATGCGTGCCACCACACATTTTTTTTTGGGGCAGCGGGGTTTTACAATATTGCCCAGACTAGTCTTGAACTCCTGGGCTCAAGCAGTCCTCTCGCTTTGGCCTCCCAAAGTCCTGGGACTACAGGCTTGAGCCAGTGTGCCCCACCAACCTTGGAGTTTAGTTTCCACGTGGCTCAGGCCTGGGCTCTAAGGGCAGAAATGCTTCCTAAACCCTGGGTGTGTTGTCCTGGGTGCTGTCCCCTCCCCCAGTCTGCGGCGGACAGAGGCTGCTGGTGGTTGCTGGGTCCTGTGACTCCTCTCTGCCCCCCTGCAGCCTGGGCCGAGCCGGCGGCCTCCAGAGGACGAGAAAGAGGTGATCCGCCGGGCCATCCAGAAGGAGCTGAAGATCAAGGAGGGTGTGGAGAATTTGCGGCGCGTGGCCACGGACCGCCGCCACCTGGGCCACGTGCAGCAGCTACTGCGGTCCTCCAACCGTCGCCTGGAGCAGCTGCATGGTGAACTGCAGGCGCTGCACGCCCGCATCCTGCTGCCTGACCCCGGGCCTGGCCCTGCCGGTGAGTGAGGGTGTGAGACCGCTCCGGGCAAGAGGCTCCAGGCCAAGCCGGGCCCTGGCCTTGGCCCTGACAGCCTCAGCTTCCTGAGTCTCCGAAAGTAGCCCCTGCTGATGGTCCAGGAGGGGAGGGAGGAGCGAGCTGGGCCTTGAGGGGGTTCCCGGCTCTAGGGGGGCGGCTCACGAGCCCCACCCTCCCCGTGTGCAGAGCCTGTGGCCTCGGGACCTCGATCGTGGGCAGAGCAGCCGAGGGCTCGGCACTTGGAGGCCCTACGGAGGCAGCTGCAGGTGGAGCTGAAGGTGAAGCAGGGGGCCGAGAATATGACCCACACGTGCGCCAGTGGGACCCCCAAGGTGAGGCCCCACGGGCTGGTGGGGAGGGCAGTGCCTGCCCCTGTCCTGATGGCGAAATGTGGCCCAACTGCTGACGCCAGATGGGAGATGCAGTCCCGGGGGCAGTACGGCCCTAAGCCCCAGTTGGGTGTGGGAGGTGTGGCTCTAACCCCAGCCTCACAGAGAAGGCCCCCCACCCCCGCACTGCTCTGAGGGGGTCCCAGCCCCATCCCCAGCCCCAACTCCCAGCATGACATGGAGGTTAGGCCCCAGTCCTCATCTAACAGGAAGACTTGACTCTGGCCTTTTTTTTTTTTGAGTTGGAGTCTCACTCTGTTACCCAGACTAGAGTGCAGTGGCCACTCCCGGTTACTGCAGCCTTGACCTGCTGGGCTCCGGCGGTCCTTCCGTCTCAGCCTTCCAAGTAGCTGGAACTACAGGCGCGCGCTACCACGCCCGGCTGATTTTTGATTTATTGTAGAGATGAGGTCTTGCCAAGTTGCCCAGGCAGGTCTCGAACCCACGGGCTCAGGCAATCCACTCACCTCAGCCTCCCAAAGGCGCGGGATTACAGGCTGAGCCACCGAGCCTGGCTGACTCTGGCCTTGTTGTGATAGGGGAGGCTTAACCCCAGCAATCTGATGGGAGGGGCTTAACCCCACTCCTGATCTGATGGGGAAGGCCTCCCCCCCACCTGGTCTGATGGGGATGCTTGATTCCAGGCCTGATGTGATGACAGGAGTTTAACCGGAGCCCTGATCTGATAGGGAGGCTTGACCACAGCCCTGATGTGATGGGGGAGCCTTAGCTCCATCTCCGATCTGATGGGGGAGGCTTAGCCCCAGTCCTGATCTGATGGGGGAGGCTTAACCCCAGCCCTGATCTGATGGAGTGGCTTAACCCCAGAGAGGATCTGCTAGGGGGGCTGAACTCTAGCCCTGATCTAATGGAGAGGCTCGGCTTGAATCCGGTTGGATGGGGGAGGCTAGTCTCCAGTCCCTGGTCCAAGGCGGGAGGTTCTGGCCCAGCCCCGGTCTGATGGAGCATATGCCACGCCCCGTAGGAGAGGAAGCTCCTGGCAGCCGCCCAGCAGATGCTGCGGGATAGCCAGCTGAAGGTTGCCCTGCTGCGGATGAAGATCAGTGGTCTAGAAGCCAGTGGGTCCCCCCAGCCAGGTGAGGCTTTCGGAGGGGGGAGGCTGGGGCGTGCCGGGGCAGGGCCTGAGGGCCGCCCTCCTTCCTCCTCGCAGGGCCTGAGCTGCTAGTTGAGGAGCTGCAGCACCGATGGCGTGTGGAGGCTGCCGTGGCTGAGGGCGCCAAGACCGTGGTGAAGCTGCTCGGGGGCCGGAGGGCGCAGGACCGCAAGGCGCTGGCTGAGGTCGGCCTGCCCCGCCACTCCTGCTCCTCCCCAGGGGTCTGCTTGTTCCGGGGACACCCTCGAGGGGGGTGGAGGGTGGGGGCAGGAGGCATGCCAACTGGCCACGCAGGGCACTGTGAGGAACCAGGAGGCACGTTCCGTCGAGACCTTGTTGGGGAGGCAGGTGTCTTCTGGGGGCCACCGCGTGACCCATGGGCCTGCCCCCACCTGGGTTCCCTCTGCAGGCGCAGACCCAACTCCAGGAGTCCTCTCAGAAGTTGGACCTCCTGCGGCTGGCCTTGGAGCAGCTGCTGGAGGACCTGCCTCCCGCCCACCCTCTGCGCAGCAGGGTGGCCCAAGAGCTGCGGGCTGCGGTGCCTGGGAACCCCCGGCCTTCAGGGACGCTGGTGAAGCCCACCGCCCTGACAGGTAGCCGGCAGTCTCTCCCATGTCAGAGCTTCCTGGGAGGGCCTGGAAGCACAGCAGGGAAGATCATTGGGGAAGGGTTCCAGTCCTGGCCCCACCACCCATTAGCTGTGTGACTTTGTGCAACTGATAGTCCCTCTCCAGAAGCTCAGTTTGTCCCTCTGAGAATGGAGGATGATAGGGTTTCTGCGAAAATTGGGTCACTTTTTGTACATGAAGTGCAAACACAGTGCATGGCACAATCTGTACCTGGGAGTACAGTGCCTGGCTGCGATCGGGGCTCACAGCAACCTCCAGCTACTGGGCTCAAGTGATCCTTCTGCATCAGTCTCCCGAGTAGCTAGGACTACAGATGTGCAACAGCATGCCTGGTTAATTAATTAGTTTTTTTTTTGTTTTTTTTTTTTTGAGTTGGAGTCTCACTCTGTCGCCCAGACTGGAGT